AAATATATTTTTATAATTTAATTTTTAAATTAAAAAACAAAAAAATAATAAAACATGTTGAGAGGTTGAGACTTCAATACCTTACATCTCAATGTACAAAATGCATGGCATATTGATAATTCATCTTAACAATTGAGATTTAACATCAAGAACTAGGGAAAAAATAATAATAAAGTACTAAAAATTGATAAGAAAAAGAAAAGAAAATAACTAAATTGAGTTCTTTAAGTAGTTGAGAAATTAAAAATTTATTTAATCCTATATTTTAGTTTATTTTTTTCCTATATGTAAAGCCCGTGGTTGTGAGTTGTGAGGAGGAGATACTGTCGAAAACATGAAATTCCAAAGCCCAAGGATCTTTGCAGGGCCAAAAATAAGTATGTCATTCTTTTGGCTTCTAGTGGTCCCATCTGTCATCTTTCACTGTGAAAACAGTGCCATCTTTATGGGCATGTTGATGATGTTACCTTCCAAGTTCAGATATTTGTTTTATTTAATATTTATTTATGTCCTTTCGTGAATCTTGATTTTCAGTACTAGACCCAACCCAAGTACTCTTCCCTTCCTTCGAGAAGAAAAAAAGAAAAAATAAAAGAGCACTTGGATCATGAAATCAACAATTGTGAAATTGGCCAACGACTATTTGTGCTACTTGCATTGCATTGGATAAAATTGAAGTACAATCCCTTTTATATATTCACATGATAGAAGTTGTAACAGCACGGGATTCATGTCAAAATTATTAAATAACATGGGTTTTGGCAATCTTATAAAATTAATTTTTAAGATGATATCACTAAGTAATTATATATTCAATTCACGTCATATTTTTAATAAATTTTTCTTAAAAACTATACATTTTTAAATATAAAATTTATATAATTAAACATATTTAAATAGTTAAATAATAATTTGATATCAGATGATTGATATAATAATCGTTAAAATATGATAGATTTAGAGATTTAATAAAAGGAGGTTCAACATTTTTTTTTCTAAATATGTAATTTATTAGTTAAAGTTTGTAACTAATAAAAATCTATTAGAATTTTATAATATCGTTGTGTCCAATAAAAACTTTTCATAATTTTTTTAAGTAATTTTTTTTTAAATTATATTAAAGTATATTATATATTTATTAAAAAAATATATTAAAGTGTATTTTTCACTTATGCATAAATTAAGTTTAATATAAAGAGAAACTTATATTTTTTCTTTTGTAAGTATTTATAAAACAGTTTCTCATTTCATAATAATTTATATGCATCTGAGTTTGGTATCCATAAATCCTACTTGAAATTCATGCAACCCAAAAGAAGAAAAAATCCTTTTTTAGTGAAGAGAAGCATATCCCAAAGTTTTCCCTTGCAATTAAGTTGCAATTGACCCAAGGCATATTTGGCACCATATGATGGTTAGAACTTAAAAGGAGATTGAAAAATCTCATTGCATTTTAAAGAGTGTCGTGATGAAAGAAGTGGATATCGTTTTCAAAAAAATAGTGTTGACTATTATTGACAATGAGGTTTAATTAATTTTATAGACAAAACATCTAGTCTCTCCCCTAATTAATGGCTCATGTCTTTTTCTTTCCTTTCCTCTTATGCTATTATTTTTTATTTCTTGAGCTAAGTGCTTGTGTTTGTATTTTTCTCATACATATTGTTTTCTTTTCCTTGTCACATGACACATTGAGAAGCACGAAGGAGTCCATGATTTGGTCAACTAGGGGTTGGTAGAATGGGAACACAACCCTTTTAACTGTGTTTTCAAATCCACCGATTGGATCGGAAACCGATAAACCTATTCAAATAATTCATACAATTAGTTTGGGAAAAACATTATTAAAGATGAAAAAAAAAATGATGAAAACTAGTTTTCGACTTCTTTATAACACTTTAATCCTTGATTTTCTCTTTATATTTTTGTTTTTTTATTCTAGATATTAACTTATTATCAATAAAAAAATAGTTGATATTGTTGAAATTTAGACTTAATTATTAAAGTATATTTAATTTAAACTTTTGTATATATTTTAAATATTAAGAACCTCTTGATGGAAGTGCTTGCAATTTTACATGTCAACAATACCACTAAAAGAGCAACAGTTCGTAGTGAAGAATTCAAATGTGTTTACATTATTATCATTTTTACAAAATATAATAATGCGTGATTATCATATATTCATAATGCATGAAACAAGCTCGTATTTAGAAAGCATGTGTATCTAAAGATAGCTTACAGAATTAAAAAAAAAACATAATCTAAAGATAAATAAAGGAAAACTCCTTTCTAATTGACGTTTATGATTTTTCACCACACATTGCATTACAATATTGAATATTGTATCAATACTAATAACAAAAGTATCATTTTTGGTGTTTATAGTTTATTTCTAATTTTATCTTCAATTAACTACTATAAAGATAATTTTACACTAAAAAAATCTAATCACCATTTTGCTTAAAAGAAAAATTAACTGTATATAAAAAAATTAAACTAATACAAAAAATACTTAAAAGAAAAAACTATTCTCTCAGGCATGGGGTGCCCTTCTTTTTCCTAAGATAATAGTAATAAATCCATACTCATTTCTGTAAAAAAAAAAAAAAAAAAACGATTATGTCCTTAAATTCTTCGAAATATATAATTATATTAAATAATATTTAATAGGATAAATTTTTTCGCTTATAATAATTTTACTCGAGTCAAATAACGAAATAAAATTGTTTTCGCTGGAAAATATATGCATACAGACTTTGGTCTAATAAAAAGTCGTGGGCTTTAATTTGGGGAATCCTATCAGCTTCTGCTTCATTCCACCAAGTAAGGACCCATCAAAACAATCAAAACTTGGGTCAGGAAATAAAATTATCGCCTCTACAGTTTCATGTCTTTGCAATTGAAAATTGACACCTTCAAAATTTAAATAATTTAAGAAAATATTACGTAGTATTATTTAAAAGAGACTTTAAGAGAGAGATGTTTTGTAGTGAGGGTTATATATATATATATAGGGATATATATAGGGAGCATATCAAGTGAGAAGAATTTATTATGCAATCTTGAAAACATTCCTTTTTATTATTAGTTTCTCTCGATCTTAATTTTTTTCTTAAAGATGAAATGAACAATCATAAAATAAGGTATCTATAGAATAACAACAATTTTTCTATTACTTAGAACAACAACAAAATGGTAAATTTCATAAGATCATATTATGAAAATCAAATGAACTTTTTTTTTAATTAACCGAGCTTATTATTTTTTTGTGGTAAAAGCGTTCAGGATCAAGAATGCACCAACCACTTATTTTGGAAATTGAAAATTTTGAATTAGACAAGTATTATCTTAACCTCTGCTTTAAGTTATACATTTTACTCACGAGGGTCTAAAGAAATCAATGAAATTTTTTAATATACGTAAAATATTTTTAGTAAAAATTATGATAATAGTACGTTAGATTAGCATTCTCGTATAATATTAGATTCATTGACATTTTACAAGTCACAAGATAGCACAGCACGGGGGTGTTTGTGGCAATAATTTGTGGCTAGAATAATTATGCAACAAAGACAGCAAATAATGTGCATTAAAGAGATCCAGCACATTATTTAATTTTAGTACAAATCTGAGATGTGAACAACAGCACCATTAACTACTGAACAGTATTAACTGTTAAACTGTAAAAAAAGAAATAAAAGGTAGAGTGAGTGAAATTAAATTCAATTTTTTTAATTAACTAAAGCATACTTACTTTTATATATAGCGGTGTGAATAGAGTAGGAGACTCGACGGCGCTTTAACCTACCCTAGATTATTGAATTCTTTTTCTGGATCATTCTTTATTCTTATTTAAGTAAAACTTTATTCAATCTAACACATTTTCAACGCTATTTATGTATGAGGAACCAATAAAAAATAACATTAAAGACAGTCTCACTCACTACTTTATTTGATAAATTTTACATTCCAATTTATAATATAAAAATAAATAAGTAATAATCAAATTTGATTATGAGAATAGTCACCTAATATCCCAAAATTGATGATAAAAATTTAATTTCTCTTCACAGAATATGACTTTCACTTGTTAAATATTATTTTAATATTAACAAAAATTCATCATGAAAGTCTCTTGTATTAAAAAAAATACTTTACAACCATAATAATAATAATTAGAATTACTTTTGTGAGTGAGATTGTCATAAAAATTAAAATAACGGAACCATGAAACGTCTTATAGTAGGTTTTTTCACTCCCTAAAAACAAGAGAGGTCTTATAATAGTAGGCGTACAAAGAGAAACAAAGTACAAGGAAAAGTAAAGTATAAGAAAAACAGCTCATCCCACAAGAATTTGATGTTGCCCATGTATTCGCTCGTTTTTTGTTGTTGATATATTTCTTTCTTGCACACAAAGATAATAGAAAGGAGAATGTGAAAAGAAAAGGAAAAAAATGAAGAATAACATAACCGTATTTTATTTTTAATTAATGTTATGCAGTTTTTACTCTCTAATTTCTTGAATTAAAGATGGTGTAAAAGAACTTTTTGAATTAAAATATTACTTTTACGATGGGATATTTAATTTTCGTATACTATCAATATTAATTTTCTTCACCGATAACTTGTAAAGAAGTATTATGGTAAAATGATAATTTATGAGCCCAATTTAATGTATGTAATGTCACATTCTTTAAAAGGACTTTTTTCATTTTGCATTTGAGAAAAATTTTCCAGAAAAGAAGTAACAAGGGAAATAGACAGAACATCAAATCTTGTACTCCTTAAGCTAAAGCAGTTTGAGAAAAATGTCAGATCTTAAAAATCCAATGCTTATGTTTCAACGTTTTTTTACCGTTAAGATCTTTTGCCGCCGAAAAATTGACAGCCACTCTCAACCGTCTGATCTAGAAATCCCCAACATCAGTGAGGGTCCACCGCATGCAGTGGACCCCACCACACCATTCTAATTCTCTCTCTACTCTTGTCTGTTCCCCTACCACCATCCTTTGAGTCACACCAAAGTCACTGTGATTCCATTCCATCTCTTCACAATTCATGGTTTCCCTTTTCTATTTTTTCCTCTGCACAACAAAGTTTCCGTTTTTCTGACATGGGTATCTCTTATTTTCTCTGCTTTTCTTAGTTTTCATCTTCTTTGTGCTTGTCACGTGTGGAGTTTGCCTCACGTGTATTTGGGGTGCCATCATGTGTTTGTGCTGAAGAATCTGTGAAGTGGGGTTGTTCTGTTCTATATGCTGTGGTGCTGCTTCTGTTGCTATTATTGTGATTCTAGCTTTTGGGGTTTGTGCGTTGTGTTGTGCTTTGTTGCATCTTGTGTGTGTTGTGGATTGGTTTTTGGGGTGGAGATGTTGGGTTCAGGTACCAATTTGGTAACCACGGTCATTGGGTTTGGCATGAGTGCCACTTTCATTGTGTTTGTGTGCACCAGAATCATATGTGGAAGGCTTAGAGGGGGTGTTGAATCTCGGATGATGTATGAGATTGAATCAAGAATTGATATAGAACAGGTAATTAAGTTAAGCTATGCCTTTTCCTTCTTTCTCTCCCCTTTTCTTGCTTACTGTTTTTGCTTGTGAATATGGCCTGATTTTGGGTACTTTGTTCAATTTTCATGGAACTTGTATGAATTTGAATACTGTAATCTATTTTATTTGGTCATGAATCGCAGGTTATTGTTCTGATCCGGTAATTGGTATGAGGAATGAGGATAGCTGCAATTTTCTGTTGTTTTTTAAACTTTTTGATTCTGATGCAAATGCTGCATTCTATTTCCATAAGTAAATCTGTGACTTGGGTATAAGCTTTCAATCAGATTTAGAAAATGGGTATTTGTAACAATGAATGCGTATACTGCTCCTTTAAATCGATTGTCATTTGTCTTGGTAAGATACTAAGATGTATGGAATTGTTCTAACCCGTTTTTGTAATGGAGATTTTTTGGTGATAAATATCAACAATTACAAAGCCCTACCACACATTCACACTAGGTGAGATGGGCTACATAGATCACATACAGTTTGGCTTGGTTAAAGATGAAACATCTGGAGATATTAACGTTATAATGGAACCATGCTAACCATACAATGCGTTACTTTTCGGTAACAATCCAACATTAGCAAAAATATGTTGCGAGTGATCCTTGTTTGGTATATCGATAAGTTTTACATTGATTGTTGAGGGCCTAACACAACCCTTCTCCTTTACCTGGCTTGGGCATGGCTATAAAATCATAAGCTGAGTTACTTTTTCATGGTAAATATTTATATGTTTAAATACTCATTTGGTCTCTATAGTTTCATATACTTTATCTTAAAAATATTTTATTTTAGTTTCTATACATATCATTTTTATTTCCTGTTCTATTTTATATAGAGACTAAAAGATAAAATTTATAAAACTATAAGAACTAAAAGATAAAATTCATGAAACTATAGTATCAAATAAGTATTTAAACCTATTTCATATAATGTTGTGTTCATGAATTTGAATGTTTCTAGACTTATAGTTTCATATACTTTATTTATAGTTAAAAATATTTTATTTTAGTTTCTATACATACCATTTTTATTTCCTGTTTTATTTTATATTACTAAAAGATAAAATTTATGAAACTATAAGAACTAAAAGATAAAGTTCATGAAACTATAGTATCAAATAAGTATTTAAACCTATTTATATAATGTTGTGTTCATGAATTTGAATGTTTCTAGACCTCCAAACAGTGGTTGATCGCAAGAGGATATACTGTGTCTAATTTGTAATTTAGTTTATGTCATTCTGTACTGTTAAGGTTGGTTGCTTTAGATTTTAATTTTTCATTGTTTACTGATAGCCAGAACATCATGTTAATGACCCTGAATCCGAACCTGTTCTGCTTGATGCAATCCCTACTTTGAAGTTCAACCAAGAGGCTTTCAGTTCGCTTGAACACACACAGTAAGTTTTAGTCTCTCAATTGTAGCGTCATAAACAGAAAGTTTATCATATTTTCCTCGACAGAAGATTTCAAACTGATACAAAAAAATTCTCACTACTATACATTGTTCTTTCAATTTTTGTCACAAGAGCTCATGGTATGCAAGAAACACTTTGATAGACTAATAAGTTCATGCAATGAGGAGATAGATTCATGACTGAGTTTGCTTCTTCAGGTGTGTAATATGTTTGGCAGATTACAAAGAAAGAGAAGTATTGCGCATCATGCCCAAATGTGGCCACACTTTTCATCTTTCTTGCATTGATATATGGCTGAGAAAACAATCTACCTGTCCGGTGTGCCGTCTGCCATTGAAAAACGCTTCCGAAACGAAACATGTGAGACCTGTGACATTTACCATGAGCCAACCTCTTGATGAGTCTCACACATCAGAAAGGAATGAAGATATAGAGAGACATGTTGAACCTAATGCTGCTAGTAATTCTTCACAACCAACTTCAGGAGAACAAGAAGCAAGGCAATGATCTAAGAGCTAAAGGGGTTGTTCTGCTTCTATAGAGGAATGCTTCTAAATATAGATTGGATTCAAATTCTTTGCCTTTAATATGGCCTTCATATTCACTTGGTGGTGTAAATATGTTTCCTTTTGTAGCATATGCAGGCCTAGGTTTTGGTGGGATTTATTGCATACCAAGTTGAAGTTCTTTTGTCCATGGTATCACTTACTCAAGCAAGCACACTACTCTTGTTAATGCTCCACAGATTAAACAAATGTTTGATTACATGTTTTTCTTCTTGTGCAATTATTTTTCAGTAGCAAATTTTTTCTACATAATGCTTCTTGTTCTTATCATAGGATGGGTCTAGAAAATTTGGATAGCGGGATAATGCATATATTAGTATGAAAGAAATAAAATCATTAAAAAAAATTTATAGTTGCATGATTCACAATAGAATATTATGGTGTTGTTTTGATACTGATCAGAAAAGGCTTGGTTTGACGTTATTTATAATTGTTTTTGCATGTTTTAATAAATTTAACATTAATTTTTTTTTTCAGAACTACAAAATGTATCTGATTCATGATTAAGCAATTAATTATCCTATTTATTGCGGAGCAAATTTGTATAATATTTATTGCAGAAAGTTCTTTCATTTATTGCATTTGCAATTGGTTACCAAATATATCTTCAAAACGGCTGGAGGTTCCCTGCACATAAAACAAACAATAACTGCTCATTGAAATATTATACCAAATACATCTGCAAAGCTACTCATTCTCATTGAAATATTGTAGAGAATTCAAAGAGAAAGGTATTGTTCTTGTCATAAATTATCATGATGTGCATGTTAGGTCCTCTAAGAAATGTTGAAATGAGAGCAAACCTAATATGTAAGAATTTGAGGCCAGGAATTCAGTCAATATATTGTTAAATCTGTATATTAAATTACTAAATGCCAGATCATCTTTGTAACTATGATCTATCCATGTAACTATGGTCGTGTGCCTTGTAGATAATGACAGGAGTTAAGGAAGTGGTTCGATAGTTTAGGTGTAAAGAATGCTAATCAATAACTTAGAAAAATACTTTGCCTCTTGTTTGGTAGGGGCAGGAGGAGGGTGTAAGAGAAAAGAACCATGAACGATCGAATAATTTATTTTTTAATAAATATATTATTTTTAATTGTGGTGATTAAATAATTTATAATAAAATAAATAAAAAATAATAGTTAATATTATGATAAAAATGAAACTATAATTCATTTTGAAATATTTTTCTAATAGGGTGAAAGGAGTAATATAAAATATAAAAAATATATTAGAAAATAACATTAATTTTTATGAAATCTAAAATATTAATTGCATTTCTTAATACATGTGAAAAACCTTAAACGTAAAATAAAATAGATTCAAGTGATTATTTTATTACTGTTTCAGGGTAATTTTTCCCCTTAGAAAACTGAAACTAAATACAGAATTTTAACATCAATTTATAAACCATCCTCAAATGTTGCAAAGCAATCAAGTCCAATGTTTCATAACTCGGCACCATATTTGTTTTGTGGTCTCATCTTGCGCTTTTCTAGGAATTATAGAGCATGTGGTACGAAGTTAAGAACCACCAACAAATCATAGTGATTTCATTTTCTTCTTTATTGACACATAAATGCTTTATACCAAAAAAATAAAATAAAATTAACACATAAATGCCAAAGAAGTAGAATTTCCATAGTTAACTCTACAAAAGTCTTTAAAATTAAAGCAGGTTAAGGACAATGATTGGTTGGCCATAAACTGTGGTCTTAATAAATTCTGCCAGCAGTGGAACCTGGAATTTGTTCAGATGAATTTTTTTTTTTCAAAGTTAATCGATCAAAAAGTAAAAACTAGATTCACTGGATAGCACATTTTAAGAATTGGTAACTTCAAAAACAATTTTATTATGAACAATAATCAGAGTTTAAAGAATATTGTATAATGAATTAGAAATGAAAAGTTTTTATTATTGTGAAAAAAATGTAAGGCAAATTAATTTCTTTTAATCAAAAACAAAAATTGTGCGGAGAATACGCAAAATAATATTAAACTCTTTAATGAATTTATTAGATAATCATATTTTTGCTAAAATCGTTGCAACATTTGAAGAAAATATTGTAAGAAAATCCCAAATTTTATATATATAAAAAAGTTGCACATGAAACCTACAAGACAAATCCAGAATCAAGAAAAATTTGTAGGTATCAGTTATAACTACACCGTATAAACTTTTGGGAATATAAAAATCATGAAAAGTAGGTTTGAAGAATGAAAAAGAATTATACTGAAAAAAAAATACAATTAATTGATGAAATAGTTTATACATAAAAATCATTAATAATATTTAAAATTAACCCAAAGCATTATTTTTCTCTCAATGAATTAAAAAAAGAAAAATCTCTTTCTTTCCGTCTTCTTTCACTCCTTGAATAGTTTTATAGTGTGTTTGTTTAGAGAAGTTGAACAGAAAAGCTATCTTGCAAAGCTTTTCCATTCAACAAAGGAACGACAATTCAACAATTCAAACATGCCTTTAATTATCCGAAAGATAGTGTTAGAGATCTGAAAATTGAAAATGGGTAAACAATATTCAGCCATTACACTCCTGACAGCAACAACAACAACAACCAACAATATCAGTAACAGTGTAACACCCCAATGTAAAAATAAAAATCACCATCTTCCACTAGAAAACCATCAAGTACACAAGCCTTCTTCATTTAACAACACAACACATACCCAGTTCTGTACTTCGTGTTCCATGAACCACCCAGAAGCAAAAATCTAATCTTTTCAATGGAAGAGTCACCCCCATCAATACCAGACCTCATTCTCTCTCTTCAACAACCCACTTTCATGGCAAAACAGTTGCCATCATCATCCACCAAATCCACTCCTCCTTCCACCACGCCCACCGCCACCTATCCGCCTCCTCGCAGATGCAGGTGGAGGACGATCCCTGTCGCCGTTCGCGGAGAGAAGCCTTTTTCCGATGATGGGCCTGTGGGAAGGGATATGATGTCAGGTTGAGGGCATTGGAACTTGTGTACCAGTTTCATGTGTGATGATGATGTGTCAGATATATAATGATGGTGGTGTTAATTTTCTTGATTACTTTTTTGTTCTACCTATACAAGTTTTGGTTCTTGGGGCATGGAAGATTTGGGATGTATAGTCAGTTCAAGCTACATAAATTAATCAAAGCGTTGTGTTAGTTCTTTGTAGACTTTCTGATTGTGTATAAGAATAGCATTGTGTTGTCTGATTGTTTTTATGCAAATAATCTTTTAAGGGTTTTGTTTATGGGTGGGTAGGGTAAATACAAATACAATTAAACATGATACATCGATTTTTTATTGGTTAACTCTAAGTAAAATATTAGTTACTAGTCAAGGTTTTTAAATTGTGATCACTTTTAATCATGTTCCTTGATATTGGGAGAAGATGCAAATTGCGATCACGATGAGATCCCAAAAACCTTGACATTACTGCCGAAATTGCGGTTGCAAACCATTTCTTAAAACCTTGGTTATAGGTGTTAGATGTTTATAGCATTCGAACAAAAATGAAAACATATCTTCATTTTCCCTCTATGATGATGTAGCAAGCATCTGTATCAGCTTGAAGAATAGATTGCTGTTCTTTTACAGTCTAGAGTGATTGATTCAGTCTGGTTGCACTGCCTATGATGGCAGTGAAACTTTACAGGTTGTATATTAGCACAAGGAGTCCAGTTTAATTATAATCACATAATGGACATAATGCTTTGGAGCTGCGAACTGTTTTTCTAATATGAACATGCTCCTGTGCTTGAAACATTGGTAGAAGAAACCTGCTGGGAATCTAATATATTCCCAATCTGAATGCCATAGCACAGCTCTCCTTAAAACTTTGCTTCTATATTTGAATCATATGTCTGCGGCAACAAAGAGCCTCATGAATATGTGAATCTCCAGGGCCTTCTTCTGCTTGAGGTTGCTCTACAATTCCACATTAATCCAGATTGTTATTCCTTGGCAATCAAATTATGCAACTTTACAAAATCATCCAATGTAAGTTCCTCAGGTCTTGACTGTAAATAAGCGTCAGAAGATCATATGGGTCAGCAGAATCCTCGAGAAACAAAATACCAGAACTGATGAAGTTTAGTGAGGGCATAAAAATAAAAATGAAAAATGAAAATTAGCACACACTAATCACTTACAGTAGCTAGAAGACCTATGCTAGTTAAAGCTTCTTCGATCTCAAGGGATGTGCATATGTGCTGAAGTGACTTGCGCAGCATCTTACGCTTCTCATTGAATGCTGAATTAACCTATAAATACAGACGACTGAAGTATCATTGAAATGGTGAAAGAGGCGTTTGCTTTACCTTGGTTTACGGTAGCTGTTAGGAAGAAAGCATGCTAATGGATATCTTCAGTAGCTCATGCATCGTGGTATATCACATAGTGATGAGACTTAGAATGAAACTAAAGATGAAGATCCTTGGAAATTCGATGCATGACAGTATATGCTGTGGAAAGGATTACCATTGAGAAGAAACTTTTAGTGGAAGAAACTTGGGGATATTCTGAGGGTAGCTTCAGCTTGAATGAGACAACGGCTGCATCAACCTACACAAATATTAAAATGAGTCATATTGATAATTTATAGTTTATCTATTCTCGAGTTCATCAAAGCAAAAAATCCACAACCAAGATCTTAAAGGTACATTTAAATATCAGATTGCTTACATTAGGCTGAGGGAAAAAATTGGTTCTTGGGACTTTAAGTTTGTACTCTGGATCTGAAAAGGAAAATCAGAACTTCAGCATAAAATTAACCAAACTGTGGGGAACGGGTAGCAAAATCTCTGGTTGAATTTTGACGCATGTGATTCCTTAAGAAACCACATGCAAACCAGTAAAACCAGCATCTTACACGCATTTACAGCTCTGTGTCGTAAATGCCAACACAGGAAAAGGATATACTTGAGTTAAATTTTTTTTGTAACTGAAATACTGGATCAGTTTTACAGGTTTGATTTTTCAATATACCATAGGAAAACTTGTGATCCTTGATTATAAAAGGATAGCTTAACACTAAACTATTTGTACTTCATATTTACCTGAGTAGAAATTAACAAATATATTGATGGGACGATACTCAGGGGTCCGGAGTGATGACACTACCAAGCGCATGGCTGTCTCCTCCTGCAATGGTTTGATATGGTTAGTATTTAGTTCTAACTGTTATTATATGATGTTCCCCTTATTATTCCAAGTGGTACTCTCATTACGTTAGGTTGAACCCTTGTCATTTTTCAAAGGGGTGTTAATTTTAAAAGATTAAATGAACTAAGACAGTAAAACCTTGAAAGGAAGGTTGATAGAAACTAGTTCAAAACACTCAGTTGTGGTGAATGTAGTGCACAATTCTTGTGCAGATATTGATGTCAGTGTCATATCAACACCTGTGGGGTGGATTTACTATGGAAGACAGAAAACTGAAACAGAGAGCAATCGAGAAACTCTGATACTCTCCCTCAGTCTTCTCCACATTTTTGCTTACCCCTCTATCTTCTTTCCTTTCCTTTTTATATCCTTTGCACATTTTTCTAATATACCCACAGTAACAGGTGGTTTCCTCGCAGAAGTTCATTACACTAAGTTCCCGTCTGGGAGGTCTGGGGAAGGTGATATGTATAGTTATAGCTTTACCTTATAATCAAAGTGGCAATTTCTGTGACTCAAAACTCAATCACTAGATCACAAGGCAACAACCTTATCGTATGCCAAGGTTCACACTTTGAAGAGAAGAAATATTACCTCGAAAAGAAAAGACGGGGAAAAACATAACATGGCCTTAGGTTCTGAAGTCTCTAAGTTAAATAAATGCTGCAAAGGTCCTTTGGAAAACATGTCTCTTCTGCAATATCAACTCCAGTTCTTGCCAACAGATTTGATCATTTTATAAATAATTTGACCCTACTACCTTCAGTTTTCTAATTTTTATAATTTCTTTCTTCATTCTACTAAGGTATCGGTGCTTCAAGCTGGTAATACTGATCAAGATGCAAAAACAACGAACATGAGAAGCACTTGAACTTCGGATTAAGTAAATGGTGGGTAGGGGGTTGAGTGATACGGATGGAAACTTTAGAAGTTAGAAGGTTATGAGAAAAAGTAAAACTAGACAAAAAATTATATACACTAGAGCTATGAATTCTAACCTGGAGCAACAGAACCACTTCTGAGAAAATGTCACCCATTGGAAGAAGTAGTTTGATCACATCGGTACTGATATTAAAGGGAATGTTGGCAACCACCTGCAAACAACATAACATAACAGGCCAATTCAGGATTTTCATTTTTTTTTTTCTGGCATATCTTACAAACTTTAGTAGAAGAGCGGAACTGGTTAGCATCAGGACCTTGAAGTTAAGCTGCCAATTGAATTTATTTAGGTTTATAATAATAATAGTGGAAGATTCATAACAAGCACGAGCAAGCTAGCATAGATACAAAGCATAACTAAAGAAAAGTGAAATGAGCTATGATTTCTAATTCTTAAAGTGATAAGTGGAGCAGAAAGGTGGGTTCAATTCAGCCCGCTTTTATCATGTAACTTCTTCAAATATGTTCAATTCTTACAGTAATGACAATGTTTGTATTCAAATGAGTTATTCTGATTCCAGAGGTACCTGAAACTTTTTACCATGGAAAAAACTCCAGTATTGTGTCTAGACTCTAGAAAGACTTTTGTTAAGGATACTATTTTTATTGCTTCTAAGTTAATGCATTGGACCAGTCAACTGCCTGCACAGGGCTGTCTCGGCCCACAAATTGTTAGTTAACACCAAATCTGACCCAGTCCATATAAATAGCCAATAGTGTGCCCTCCCAAATTGATACCCCACAAATGACTCAAAAGAAATGTGGACTTTTTAAAAAGATTATTAACATCTATGCAGTTCTAAAGCTTAAGCTTCAAACACAATTGAGTTGTGGAGATCATAAATCAAAGCCTTGCAATTTTTTTTATTCAAAAAAGAAAATGAACAAGATTAAGCAAGCATGACCTCTAAAAGTTGACAAATGACTAAATAATGTTTGCTAGTTTAGGAAGTAAAGTCCTCACTTTTGCATTTCTAGATTCTGGATCAACCAATGATGACATATGAGAGCGCACATGACATTTGACAATATCCTCAGTCAAAACCTACAAGCGTTTTAATCAAAACATAAATATAAATCATAATTCATGCAGCAAAACTGGTCCTGAATTATCATAATTTTAGCATACAAATCATACATGACACAGACTAAAATATGAAATATAGATGGGCAATGTAAACAGACTGAAGTACAAATGAACTGAATCAAAAAAAAATTATTGGGAAATTACAAGTTGTGACAATTTTTAAATGCAATAAGAAGAAACTGAGGGAAAACTACAACAATATGGACTTGTTTGGATAAACTTCTCCATAAACACTTCAAGGAAAGGAAAATAAGAAGGAAAAATGAAATAAATTTCTTTATAAGTTAAAATTAGTTTATGCATAAGTAAAAAATAAGCTTTTGGATAAGCTAATATAAGAGAATTTTTACAAATTAACTTATACATAAGTTAATTTTAACTTGTGAAAAGACTTATTTCATTTTTCTTTTCTATTTTTTTTCTTTCTAGAATTATTTATGGAGAACTTTATCTAAATAGATCCTATACATGATTCGAGACTCAAACTCAAACAATCAAGGCCAGAAAAGGAGTATTAGTAATCCTAATCATGTAATGAATGTCATGAAAGATATAATCTTGATAAGCACTATAAGTAACTAGATTTCAATGTTAACATCAGCTAGTATAACTATAGTGCATATTAAGCTTCTGTATAAAATATAGTAACTGAATTATATCTCACTTCTTGAGAAACCTAATTTTGCACCTCATGAACAAGAAGATTATAGGCGTGCAACATAAAGTTTAAATTCACCATGAGTTGTACCTTAAACTTTCCAGTACTTGAAAATCTTTCACTCACAAGGGCAGCCATGTGTTTATCCTGAATCGCACGAAAGATATAAAACATAAAGTTGAGTTGAAGCAGAAGTGAAGAATCACCACTCCAACTTACCACAAAGTTGGAAAGTTCACACAACCTACAGTGTGACCAATAAATAAATATTTAAACTATAGAGATATCAAAATTAAAAATAACACAGACCAAAAAGGACACAAATAAACTCATAGTTACACACATTTACATGTGCAAAAATGTATCCATCTCAATGTTGACAAACTGCACAGAAACTAACAAGTCAAGGAAAGCACGAGAGTGTGTGTATCTCTATTATTTACCTTCTCAACTGCAAGAACGAACGCCCCTGAATTTAAAAGAACATTAGTCAAGGAACCAGTTCCGGGCCCAATTTCCAACACCACATCACCTTGTTCAACACCAGCCGCACCAGCAAGTTGCTCATTTATGTCGGAATTCAACATATAATGCTACAAATCACATCAACACCCAGATCAGCAAAAATTTCAGCAGCAGATTCATTTCACACCAAGCCCAAAAAAACAATTTCTACCTCCAAAGAAGAAAACAAAAACATAAAAATCAGATTTTGAAGTACTAAAACACAAACCCAAGATCATAGCAAAGCACCCTCTCACACACACGCACACACACCATCTTTTCGATAATAAGCCTCAACGAAGCACTGAAACAACTTGCTCCAAAATCACTCCAAATAACTTAACATATAGACAAAATTGGATTTTGTAGAGCTACAACACAAAATTCGGGTCAAACCAAGCACCCCATCAACACACCCACCCTCTGTTTGATGAAACACGCCAACAATTTTCTGAAAGTACCTCAGAAAAAAAAGAAAAAAAAAAAGAATTTTGGAGCATTACAACACAATGGGTCATCACAAATTATGTGGGGAAAAGAGGGAAACCTGGCCAAGTGATTTTCTAGGGAATCTGCCTTTGGAATTGAGAGCTTTGAGAGTGGCATGGTAATCATCTGTGCTTCGCGTGGAAGCTTTGCTGCTTCTTTCAGCGCAAACTACATACGGAGTTCTCCGCCGTACGCCGGCGGTGCTATCTTGCGCCGCTTTGTGGCGCTGAGCGTTAGATATTGGCGGGAACGTTTGAAGAGAGCATAGCGATGAAGGAGACATGTTTGGTTGTTCGTTACTTGCGTAGCTATCTGTTTTGAAACTTCCCACATAATATACTACACTGTTGTCTTCTTATCCTATGTTGTTTTATTGCATTTTTGTTTGTTTGTTGCTATTTCAACATACAACTTATGAAAAGACCTAACTCTCTTGTCAAAGTTTATAGCTTGGTAAAACAAAAAAAAAATTAAAATGATAATTATGTGATTCGAACGATGACATCATTATAAGTTAAATTTGAAATTACAGTCTAATTATCTTTTTAAAGGTTCGATTGATTTAAATTTGTATATTTTCTTAAATTCAACTCAACTTAATTCGATTATGAACTAGTTTAATTAAATTGGATTAATCGAATTAAATATAATTAAATTTATTTATTTATTGTAAAAATTTAAATATCTCATAATAGATGTAAATCATTTGATATTTGTTGTAAATACAATGTTATTAATTCATAAAGTAAATAATAGCATTAATTAAATTTTAAAATAAATGTTAATTTTTTATGTTGTTATTCGCTTAAATAATTTAATATAAAATAAAATTTAAAATAAATATGTTATATTGTTATAATACTATCAATTAAAAAATTTATTACTGACCAAGAATGACAAGAAGTATTATCCTAAGTAAGTGATCATTCAAACACTAACTTATTATTATTATTATTATTATATGATTGGATTGGATTTGATCACATGTCAAAAAACACAAAGTCTATTATGCAATCCTATAGTGTCGAGTTTTGATCAGGTTAAATTGAGTCTAATCCGAATACTAAAAAATTTTATCGAACTCATTGGGTCGATTTGGATTAGTTTAAGTTCGTGGATTACACGTACCCACTTACATTCCTATCTCTTCCTATAGATTTTGCCAGGTGTTTTATGATATTATTATTATTAATGTTTTTATCCATTTATGATATTATTAATTAAATATTATTGTATGGCACTGTTATTTTTTTTATACTCTTGCTCACTAATACTAGATGATGTTTTATATATTTAACATAATGGGGGAGATCTTTCGCAAGAACAAAATTATACATTCTAAGATAGAAATTTGGAAAAGAAGTATAGATGTACATCTTCACAACTAGCTCTTGCATGGATTCTTCATCAAGGAGGCGATGTGGCTCGTCTCATCATTAGTGAGATATATGAGTTAGGTTGGAGGAGTTTAGCATGTTGTGAGTTATGTTGTTGGCAGTGTAATTTGATATTACTTTTTATGGTAGTTTTGTTATGTTATTTTACTAGTAACTTAGGTTATAAGCTTTCATATTTTGACTTATTTTAATAAAAATTCAATTATCTTCCTTATAAGGTAAGTCCAAATATTAAACTATAATAAATTAATTATAAAAAGAATAAATGAGAAGGTAATAATAAAAGTGTTATAATTTCCTTGAAGAAAAAATATTTTTATAATTTTTTTTGTTTGATTCAAGTTTTAAAAAGGGAAAGATATGGATGAAAACAAAATCTCTCTCCAATATTGAAAGAATTGGAAAAGGGGAAGAATTTTAATATATATTTAATATAATATTCAAAATATTCTTATTTATATTTCTAAATTTAAAATTATAAGAATACAAGGATAAATTGCTTTCTAAAATATCTCTCATTTTCTTATGAATCAAACAAAAAAAGAGGCACCTCCCCTTTCCTTCCATTCCCTATTTCCAATTGAATAAAATTTTTATCTTTTTCCCTTTTCACTCCCTTCTACTTCCCTTTTTTTGAACCAAATAGATCTAAGGTAGATTAGGTTCAAGTGACCAAGAAATTGCAATATCAATCCTCTTATAAAGTTTTTATCACATATCTCAACAAAAATGTACAACATTTTGGAGAAAATGTGGGTTGAATCAAGTTAACAAGTTAAGAAACCACCAACAAATTATAGTGATCCATTTTCTTTTTTATTAACACACAAATGTCAATGGAGTAGTAAAATTATTGTTATCATATTTGACTCAAACCGACTAATTTGACTAATTGACTTGCATATTAAGTCACCTACTATGTTTGAGCTACCTATTGGTTTGGACATGTTTCGTAACTGGTTCGACTTAGACAAATTAATGAAAATTGGTGACTCAATGGAAGTAGAACCCAATGACTGTACTTTAAAGGTAAGTGTAATCACTAAGCCTTTTAGATACTTAAAAGAGAATTAAACCACGTCAATGACACCAATGTATCTTTTATAAACAACATATAACAAAATATATTTTTATACTATATCAATTATATAAAATATATTAAATAATATATTAGTTTTTGTGATTCAAATAATGATTTATTGATTCAATAACTGACCTAATAACTTGTACATTAATTGAGTTGATACCAATCAAATTCTAATAATGTAACAATTTGATAGGTTACCACACTTAGTAAAATACAACAACTGGACAATGAAAACAATAAAGAATTCAACTGTATTATAGTCATCATGCATCAATATCTAGACATACATGCAACAAATATATGTATAGGGTGCAAAAAACATAAAACTATCCCTACCAATTTTAACTTGAAAACATAAAGTCCCTCATGGAGTTACAATAAAACCTTGTACATATATACAAATATATATCTAGTAAGCATACTAAAAACACAAAAGAACTCTAGCATCGATCAAACGTCTCTATACAACTGCTATATCAAAATAGCACAACAAAAATTAAGCCATTTCCAGAATGGTCATCCATCTAGCATGCCCTACAACCTAATCTTGTTGTGCTCTCACACCAAGTATAATCATTGTAGAACAATAACATGGAAAAATAGGGGTAAACTTGTGAAAGAAAACTACATATACCAAATAAGGAAGTAATAACTTCTTCAACATAAACAACTTTAAGTAATGGATTAGATTTTCAATTGAAAAGCATAACATAACTTCAACATCATCTCACAACATAACAATTGAAAATAAACAAGGCAACTGAATAAACAACTTATATTCAATTGATAAACAACTGAACAACTTCAAACATAGTTGAGCAACATAAACAATTGATGCTCTGTTACACATATCAACTTATAGAGATCTCCTACAATTGTGGTGAGTAGTCTAAGTGACTTGACCCCTATCAAATCACAATGTCTTACCTGTCTTCTATAGGTCAAATGTTGGAAACTTCAAGTATGATAACTTGTTTAACAACTTATTTTGGTTTCTCAAGTTTTACCACTTACATTAGGAAAGTCTAGTATTATTGTTAAGGATAAAACAACTTAGACGTGAGTCTACCACGACCTTAACATGTATAACTAAGCCTATGTGAAATTAGCCCACTAATTACTTTCCAAATATTGTGCACCTTTCTAGCAAGTAGTTAGATATTTTGGCCACTGACCTTGTACCATACTTAATGACCACTTATGACAAGTACGGTTTGGCCCCCACCATACTGTTTCAACTAAAAAACCTAGAGGAGACAACTTAAAACAACTTCCTAATTAGAAGACAACATAATAACTAAAGGGCTTTCAATTATGGCTTCTTTGAGCACCATAACTAATATACACACAATAAGATATTTTTTGAAAACAAATTTTCTCTTCTCTAGTTTTTATGCAACTTCAACTTTAAAACATGCATCATGTGTCTATACAACTTACAACATACAACTTTACTTCATACAACTTCAAACAATATACAACTTTCAACTTAAATCATCATTATACATCATAGATCAACATATAATGAACTAAATTCAATCATCATTATACATCATGCAAACAACCAACTCAACAAGATATGTTGGGAATATTACAATAAGTTTTAGAACTCAAAAGGTTACAAGTTTTGAAGGAAACATGCACTCCAAGCCTTAAGAAGCATGCTCTGAGCGAGCTCGAACAGAAAGCACCCCTAAAAGGAGTGCTTAACTCACTTAAGTGACTGATGTTTCACTCTAAGCCACCAAAATTCGCTTTGAGCACACACAAAATGCTTTGAGTGAGGCAAGTTAAAGGGCACCTATAAAATGGTCACACCAATTTGCTCTAAATGAGTGAGTTCTCGCTCTGAGCCATTGAAATTATCTCAAAGCACCCACACCAAGTGCTTTAAGCGAGCCAAGTCAGAGACTACTCTTGAAATGGTCTCAATTCCTCTCATCCAAAAACCACAAATCATGCATGCAACTCATAATCTACCAACTATAGCAACATATAACTCAAAAATGGAAAGAAAGGCAACATGCACAACAATGTACAACAAGAATCATCAATTCCTTAATTCCACACCAAGAACAAAGAACATTAGGTTTTCACCTTCAATTCCAACTTAAATGCTTATCAAAGCATGAATCAACAAAATAAAATCAACATATACAACATGAAATATCAAACAACGAGCTTCTCTTAACTCGAATCATTTTTGAAACAAGAAAGGGAAGGGAGAATGGAGAAGAACAATGGCTTCCTTGGAGTTTGTTATACGACAACTTTGATCTTGATTTTCAGCTCATAAGTTTTGAATCTCCAATCAAACACCCGAATTCTACTACAGGGAAGGATTTAAAGACTTCTATGGAGTAAGAAGAAGAAACAAACTTTCTTTGACTCTAAAACCTACCTCTCTAACTTTTTTCTAAGTTTTTTTTTAAAATCTAAATTTATGAAGTTCAAGCTTTTAAAAAAACCTTAAATACTTTCTTATAAACTTAATTAACTATAACTTCGATGAAAATAACTCGACAATAACTTAACTCTTATCTCTAAAAAAATTCCTTAACTCTTAAAGTTCTAAAACAAACAATTACAATATAATAACATTTAAAACATAACATCATATATTTAATTAATAAATCATATAAAACATCCGTGTTAGTGTTATAACACTAATGAGAACTACCGATGTTAATTCTACCGATGGTCTTCAAAATTAAAGCAGATTGAGGACAATAATTATTTTGCATTAATATGGGTTGGAATAAATTTTGCTAATTGTAAAATCAGGAACTAATTCGGTCAATTTTTATTTATTTATTAATTAATTATTATTATTATTATTATTATTATTATTATTTCA